CACGTCTGCAAGCCTAGAAAGCATTTGTTCATGGGTTAGTTCATGGGCTGATTGAGTTCACATGGTCTAAGTTCATATAATGCCATCTCTCCTGAGCAGCAAAATTTCAAAACATACGACATTATTTCGTTCGCTAATCTCCGCTACTCGTCGTCTCACCTAGCTTCAGAAGATGTTACGAGAGATAGGAGAGTCTCCAGCAGGTAGCGCATCCATCTTCAGGAAGTGGAAAGAGCAAACGGCATGGTCCTTGGTTGAGGTAAATGCTGAACGTTTGATTTGTCCCAACCAAGATTTCAGCACTTGGTTCGTCACGATTTTCGCTTGCCAGCTAACGTCTCCGCACTCCAGCTTTCCCCTGTCGGTGTCACGTCCCAGTACACAACGGATAGGACTACTAATAAACAGTTCACGGCACTAACAGCATTGAACACAGTACTTCTTTCACTTCGTGAATACAAGAAGACAACTGAAAATGACACAATTCTGCAGTGATCGACCTTCTCTCTCACGGAGCTAAGCAGAATGTGCGTCATCACCTGTAGTCGCCATGGAAACGGGATCAGGAAATCGGCGATATGGCAAGTTTCCCTTGCCGTACGCAAGCGAGAGATATACCATCGAAACCGATATCCAATTGTCTTTCATCTGAGCCCTACTTGAAAAATCGATGCACTTCCCCTTTAAGTTCTGCTGTTGCAGCGGCATCAATAAAATCGGCCCGTGTGCCTCTAACAGAGCACATCGGTCTGAATTTCACGTGCCACACGTGTGTACTTGTGCAGTGAATTCCGATCGCGAGTTAGCTACAGTCAGACCTCGCTTCCGCACACATCCGTTTTCCACAAAAATATCCGGATAGGCGAGGGAACCGGGCAATCGAACACATATACTGTATGTATGCATGGCATATGCTGTAAATTGGTAACGGGCGATTTTCTTCCGGATGGTGAGGGATCCGGATAAGCGAGGTCTGACTGTATTGTAGTACCCCTGGCTGCAAACGGTGAGTGCGTTCGATTACACACTTGAATCGATTCATGAATCCATTTGCATGCATTCAAGTCGTTCGATTTCATGTCATGAGCCCTGGAATCGATTCGGAATCCATTCACATGGGGTGATGTGAAAAGCGCGAATCGATTGCGTGCGTAATCGAACGCACTCACTGTGCTAGCGTACTCATGGTGGGATCAATTTTTCATGTGCAGTGCCGCTCAATGAAATCTGATCGTGTGAGTTTGGTTTGTGCCTTGCACCCGTTCACAGGTCTGTACACCACCTTGCGCGTACATGTAGTCCGCTCATGTGATTGGATTTCATTGAGCGGCACTGTAGCTCTGTCCACAGTAACCATGGCAGTGAGACTCAGTTGGCCATCCATCCTGAAAAATTTGGGCATGAACCTGTGCTCCCAGGCCATTTTTTGCCAAAAAAACATCCATCCTGAAAAATTGGGGCATGAACCTGTGCTCCCAGGCCAATTTTGCCAAAAAAACATCCATCCTGAAAAATTTGGGCATGGACCTGTGCTCCCAGATCATTTTTTTGCAAAAAACATCAAAAACACAAGAATGTACCTAGCCATGCAAAGCATGGCCTTCTCAAGCTTGGCAAGTAATCCTAGAACTATTGGAGAACACACAGCAATTCCAAGCTTGAGGTATATACCTATGCTAACCAGCGCAAAGCATGGTCTTCCCAAACTTGGGGCATGAGCCTACGCTAACCAGCACAAAGCATGGTCTTCCCAAACTTGGGGCATGAGCCTACGCTAACCATCGCAACGCGTGGTCTTCCCAAGCTTGGCCAATAACCCCAGATATGAGAGGAGGACAAACACAAATACACTCCAAGCTTGGGAAATAATCCTATGTTAACCAGCGCAAAGCATGGTCTTCCCAAACTTGGGGAATAAGCCTACGGTAACCAGCGCCAAGCATGGTCTTCCCAATCCTGGGGCATGAGCAGCAAGAACATACATAAGCACACAGACAAACATTACCACTGGCACCACACAGCATCAGAGAAGACATGACCAGTCCGCCGTCCTGTGTGTAGGCAAGCACAGGCCGGAGCAACTGGCACACTACTAGTACTACAGCATGCAAGCAGTCCGCACTCTGCCGGCAAGCATCCATCAGCTCACCGGGACGCCGCCGGATGGCATGCAATCATGCAGCACCACGGTCACGGGCAAACACCAGAGAACACACACACTCGTGTGAGACATGCCTGTGCATGGATGCGTGCCGCGGGCACGAGTACAGATGTGTACGGTCGGGTTGGTCTTGAAAAGACCGGTGAAGCACCTTATTTTACTAGGCACTCGAAACAAATAGTCCTACGAGATCTTTCATTTCTACACCATTTTCAGCCACGGGCAAAAGCAAACCCGAGAGTCACTATTTTTTTCAACCGAAGCAATGTGAGCGAGAGTTGACGACTGCACGGAGAAATGGCCGAGAGAATGCCGCAGATGGAAAGATCATGACAGGCAAATATGACAGCACGAGAGTGGCATAAAGGCACGCGTACGTGATGAGATGCGTGCACGAGTGAGTGTATGGGTAGCGGAGTGCGTGTATGTCTCCGGGGGCAAGTGCGTGCAATGAACTATTGTGTGAGTGGATGATGCGTGTATGTCTCCGGGGGCAAGTGCGTGCAATGAACTATTGTGTGAGTGGATGATGACGTGCCATTAGAAAATTAATGCCAAGACAATGGTGATGAATGGCAAATGACAGAGGGAAATGACTACGATCATCTGCCTAAGAGCCAGGTGCTTAAGGTACAGTGGTGATACTGCTGGAAGAGCTGTAGATGAGCATGCAGTGCGTAGCGCAACGGATAGAATCAGATGATGGCCAATGCACGGACGATATCCTTGCAGCAAATTTGAGAATCGATGACGAGTAGCGCCTCTGCTTCATGAAAAGTACACTAACCAGTGATTGCATTTTTCTGATAGTGCACTGCTTGCGACTGGTCTTATGTCATGCTTAGTGCTATCATATACCACTGTCCCTGCTGATAACAAATACCACCACCGTTACTTTTCTCCCGGCAACTCTTGTCACCTAAGCCACCAGCACTGCCATTTCCGCTGCCATGGCAGGATGCTACGCAGGGGATACACTGCTGCTGAAGTCGCCGTCACTGCAGCTTCTGTCATCGCCGTCGCTGTTGATTCCACCACCAATGCCGCTGTCGCCACTTCCGTCACCGTCACCGCAGTTGCAGCCGCCTACGTCGCTGTCTCTGCCGCCGTCACTGCCATCATCACCGCCATCGTCCCTGTCATTGCCCCCGTCGCCACCACTGCCGTTTCAATCGCCGTTGCCGCCATCTCCATTGCCGCTGTCACCACCATCGTCGCCGTCTCCGCTGCCATCACCGCCATTGCCATCGTCGCTGTCACCACCGCCGTTGCAACCACCATTGCCGCCATCGTCCCCGTTGGCGCTGTCACCACCACTGCCGTTGCAATCCCCGTTGCCATCACCACCGCCGTTGCAATCCCCATTGCCATCACCACCGCCGTTGCTATCACCACCGCCGTTGTCGCTGTAACCGCCATCGTCGCCGTCCCCGTTGCTGCCACTGCTACCGTTGCGTCGCCGCCGTCGTCATGGCCATAGTCGTTACTCTCACCAATGATGCGTCTGTTGTTGTGGTACACCACCATTATAGTCAATGCTACCATCATTGCCGTTTTCTTTGCTGCTGCTGCTGCCTCTGCCAGCACCAGCACTGTTGCTACCACCATCACCACCACCACCTTTGCTTCTACCAGCACCACTGCAGCCACTGTTGCCACCATGCAGCACCACAACCGTCACTACCTCTGCCACCACCACAACCGTCACTACCGTTGTCGCTGATAACATCACCAGCACCACCAGCACCACCACCACCACTAGCGTTGCAGCCGCTGCCATTGCCATCACTGCTATTCTAGCAACTCCGCAACCACCGCTGCTGTGTCTGCTGCCCGAGTTCTTGCAACTGTTACGGTTGCACCGTGTTGTTTTCATTACCATAGTTCCTGCCACACATGCTGCTGTGTGTACGGCATCAGTGCGGGGGCACTGCAATGTTAGCTTGTTGTTACTACACGCTATTGCGGATTTGTTTCTAATGCTCCAGTTACCAAGGTCACCATGACATCCGACAGAGCTCGTACACTGCCGCCGACACCGCATTCGCTGGTGACAACTGGCATAGTGACAGGAGTGTCCATGGCTTGGCTGTGACATGGCATGGCTGACATTGAGGTGGCAGGCAATGGTCTCTGGCACACAAGACTAACACGCACGCACGTAAGCATACACAGAACGAGCCACAATCGCACACGCACGCCCATATACACCAGGATGAGAATGACATGGAATGACCCTAGTATTAAAAGCGCAGGTCTACTTTTTTCCATGGTCTACATGGAGAGGTTGCACGTGGTAGCTCACGAACGGCTTACTGGGGATTTTCCCTTTCAGAATGGCTAGGCATAGTAATGTTATGGAACGCCAAATAGAAAATGCTGTCATCACGGCCGAATTGGGAAGCCATGAGAAGCAGACTAGCGCCACAAGGCCCAACTATTCAATTCCCTTATGGTCATCCTTCAGTCAACTGGGAACTTGTGGCCAGGCACAAGGGGTACATGGGTGCAGCTAATGGGGTTTCTCGACACTTGTGCCAGTGGTTGCGAGACTTATCCACTCACCCCCACCGTTAGGCGCTGCATCTGCCGCTAGGGTTTACCGGGTGTTAGCGGATGTCGTGAGTTCCCTTTGGGAACGGACACGATAATTTACTTTTTACTTATGGTCATGAAGCCCACTCAGACACAGAAAATTTGCATACATTACCAATCTTTTGGGGGATTGCGTGTGTGTGTGTGTGTGTGTGTGTGTGTGTGTGTGTGTGTGTGTGTGTGTGTGTGTGTGTGTGTTCTCATGCAAGATAACCCCAAAGAAAGAGAAAAAGTTAGTTCTTACCCTGATGACATGGATCCTTGCGTTACCCACATGCTTGGTGTGTCAGTCTTGTGATACTTGATGGAGGTGTTCACAGTGCCCTCGTGTGTTTGGTAGCGGCTAGGATGCACAGGGACACAAGCATAAGAGAGTGGTATATTCATACAGGAGCGTCGGAAGGTAATTTTGTGTGGTACGGTCAGTCATCTGAAGTACAACTCACTCGTGGGGGAGACCGGATGGATGAGCCCAAAATTATGGAAATTTAGAGCCCAAATCAGTACATTTTATTGATTCACCGGGTATTTGGGGCAAATAGTGGTACGGTCAATACCGTAGTGACCGTACCGTGTGCGACGCCCCTGTCATAAGGGTGAGGATGTCGGAGAGTGTTGTATGGTGAGAGATTCAGAGATACGGCAAGAAAGCCGAAGAGGAAGAAAGAAAGATAGATAGGGAGAGAAAGATGGACAACACCATCACCACCACCACCACCTCTACAACCACCACCAACAAGAACAATAACAAGAACAAGGACAACAAGAACAAGAACAAGGACAAGGACAACAAGAACAAGGACAACAAGAACAAGGACAACAAGAACAAGGACAACAAGAACAAGGACAACAAGAACAAGGACAACAAGAACAGCAACAGCAGCAGCAGCAGCAACAAGAACAACAAGAACAACAAGAACAGCAACAGCAGCTGCAGCAACAGCAACAGCAACAGCAGCAGCAACAGCAGCAACAAGAAACAACAAGAACAAGGACAAGAAGAACAGCAACAGCAACAGCAGCTGCAGCAACAACAACAACAACAACAACAACAACAACAACAACAACAACAACAACAACAACAACAACAACAACAAGGCGATGGTGCCATCGTGAGAATAAAGAATTCAAACAAAAAAAACAACAACAACAGCAGCAGCATATCATAAGAATAAGGATTTGAAAGATTTGAAACCAAGAACAACAATAATTATTATAGCAATCCAAGTCACACTTACGCAGAATAATCTGCAGATTCAATGCTGTCTTTACGCACTCCCTGGTCATCCATCAGCACAACATCACTGGCTTCAGATGTCCGCCGCTCTCGATCATTTGCCAATTCAGCAACGGGACGTTGACGCCTGCAGATCCTGCACATGCACAGCAATCACACACAAACACACACACACACACACACACACACACACGCGCACACACACACACACACACACACACACACACACACACACACACACACACACACACACACACGCGCACACACACACACACACACACAGAGACGAAGAGTCAGCATTAAAACCAGCGTGCAGTCATACCTGCATTATTAAGTATGTAACTGTGTTGTTTTGAAAAGGGGTACACGATATGGTACCAATCTATTTCATAGCAATACACTATAAAATTGACTTTAATTAATGAGCTTCAAAGGGGTCCAAAATCACCAGAACCCCTTAGGATAAATTCTATTAATCTGTAAAAGAATTTCGTGCCAAGAATACTACATGAAGCAGTTGAGCAATGACGGCGAGACCTGTACAGAGTTTTGCTAGTAGGATAACAATGCAACCGAGGCACAACGCGCAAAAAACGGCATAAAATGATAGCGTACGTCATTGAGTGGCTATGAATGAATGACAGAGGGAGTCGTTACCTGTTTATATGCAGTGATGGCGTTGTGGACGCATGCACGCGACGGTGACTGCACTGGATGGCGGTGGTAGATGGCACTGGCAGATGGCGTTGGCTTGTGACACAAGGAAGTGTTCGCTGCGGTCCACCGAAGGCAATCGTGGTGGTGGCTACACAGTCATACTACATATTTCATATTTTCTTTATCTATCATTTTTGGAGAGACTCCCAAGAGAGGTCTTCATTTACCTCTGGAGAATCCAGACAATACAAAACAATTCACATGTGTGCCAATGTGCAGCAGACAGCTAGTTTGTGACAGCGGTCTAGTGGTGGTAGTGCTGATGTCAGGCTGCATCAACCACTGAGCACGCCCAGTGACTGGTCAGACCATGGGAGTCAATGGCAATGTGTATGTGCACAACAGCAGCAGCAGCACCACCACCACCAGTAGCAGGAGAAGCAGCAGGAGCAGAAGACACAGACCTACACAAATACACACAGGGTTGTGCCTAAGGCCGTGGCTATGGCATTCATGCATGACTATGACTGAGTGATTGACTGACTAGGGTAACAGATGGTAACAGGTGCTGACAGGAAGGTGAGTAAATGAACCCTGCTGCACTGGCTTGTGTTGGGACCCAAGATAAGGGAGAACCCCTCCTCCATGCGTGACAGGATGGGAGCATGCAAGTATGACCCAGTAAACATGCGTATGGTGAAGTCCCCCGACCCAATATTCAGTGTGTGCATGGGAAGGAGGGTGGGTAAGCCCAATAGTGATCTTCCCGGGTGGTCTATTTCCCGGTACACCCCAGGGAAGCACTATAAAGGCATGCAGGTCAGCCACAAATGGGGGATATGGGGCAACACTGTCCCCGACAGCCAGCTAACTTGACTGAGGTCCACAGGGCTCAGCTAATCACATAGTTGCATCAATGTGAAGGCAACCATGACATGCACCACTGCCATTGTGACCCCTAAGGAAGGGATTCCACCATTATTATTTTCTTCTTCTTTTATTTCTGTGTGTATGTGTGTGTTTGGGAAGGGGGGGGGGGCATGCCAAGATGCACTAGTGTCAAACTGAATTGGTATGGCTGCACAAGAATATGCTTGTTCCCTGGACAGAGTCCTGTGCATCCTGGAAACATCAGAGCTTGCTGCAGCCATACACTGTCTGATGTGGGTCAACAGCAGGAGATCCCCGGTCCCGTCCAACGGCATCAGGGTCAAAATTCAGAGCACAACATGCAGTTGAACAATGACTTGGGATGGCAGGAAGACAAAAAGACAATGATTTGGGATGGAGGGTGAGCGCAGTGACATACTCGACGAGACATGGCATAACACGCATATACGCAGTGAAAGGAGGCGAGCTCCAACAGTAGAATACCCCAACCGGAATTGATAACTGACAGCGATATATTTTTTCGAGATGGCATTTTAGTGCGCATAGATCATGGTGTCACAGAAAGAAAGCGAGAGAGAGAGAGAGAGAGAGAGAGAGAGAGAGAGAGAGAGAGAGAGAGAGAGAGAGAGAGAGATAGATAGATAGAGAGAGAGGGAGGGAGAGAGAAAGAGAAGAGAGAGAGAGAGAGAAGAGAGAGAGAGAGAGAGAGAGAAAGAGAGAGAGAGAGAGAGAGAGAGAGAGAGGGGGGGGGGGGGGGAAGAGAGAACACAACACGGCGACACAAACTCAACACCTGTTCGATAAAAAAAAGCAAAGTGGCCAGGGCGGCTAAACACCAGAGGTACATGCTGAGATCGGTAACTTTGTAATGGTACAAACAGGAGAGGAGGAAAAACTTCAGGAACACAACACCTCATCATGCAGTGTAGTCAGATCTACAAGACAAACTTCAGTACCTTTCTTGACACCATTGCCCAGCACAGGCCAATGAACACAACACAACTCTTACTGGGCCATAAGCCGTGCATACACACAGTGGTGGTCGGCCTGGCGTCCACACAGTCCCGCCTTGCCCTACGAAGAAGCCAGAGCAGGTAGATCTCTCCGATGATGCCGATCACACTCGCTGTCCCTACTCAGTGTAACTCAGGCCCCAGCCTGCATGGTGCACATGCTATTCTGTTACATTTTTTTGTCATTCGGCCCAGTAAAAAAACTGTGAAAAGCTCCCTTTCAAGTGCGCATTATCCAGTGTTAACATCTTCGGACAAAAATTCAGTTCACTGTCACACTGACTTCTCCATAAGGCAAGGCAAAAGTGCGGCGGGACAAAACGTGGAAATGCGGAACACTGTCAAATAGGACTACAAGGTACAACAAAAACGGGAAGAGGTGCAGCGGCAACTACGCTGGGCGCCTTGGAACAAAACTACCATAAAAGAGAGCACGGGGCTTTTGAAACAGCTTCAACGGGGCAATGCAGGGAGAGAGAGCATTGCGTTGGGCTCAATCTATAAACGTTCCCTTCGAGTCATGTGTCCAACACAAAGGAGACAAAAAGTTCGGCGGCAGCGACTCATTGAATCAAAAACTCCACAAAGAGGGATGGTCAGGACGACTTCATATCTGGTAAATTCTCGAGCACTGATGCAGCAGACATCAAATGTGAACGACTCCTGTGCACTTCTCCGACCCAGGCACGAGCCTGTCCTCGACCGACGTCGGAACAAACAACGGGATGCTGACACTCTTCTCGCCGCTATCTCCGTTCTTGTCGTCGTGTTGCGACAGTGAGCGGTCACGTCCCAAACCAAGCCGCTGCTGCTGGTACTGGTGGACGTCCGGACGTAGCGGAACGCCGGCTTCTGCTGGCTCTGGTGCTATTTGGGAGCTGCGCAAGGCCTTGCCACACCTGGACACAAGGAAGCCGAATGGCCAGGGAGAAGGATTCAAAGGAACCATCAATGTCAGCAGCACTACAACTCCGACATGGGGGGGGGGGGGGGGAGGGGGCAGAAGCAAGGCAGGACACAGGACAACACACGTCACACCCCACTTTAGGTAGCACAGGGCGCCTGTCTACTTCTAGTGTGTTTATACAAGTAGCAGTCGCGTCGAAAGACGACACGGACATGGTCTCACTGCAGCGCGTGTGTACAACGAGGGGCGCATCATCTCGCTTTTTCCGCTGTCATTATTATCTTTTCCGGTGGGACCACTGAGAAGTCTTTCTCCCTGCTCTCCACTGCTAACAGGTTGCGAACATGAAGTGGCAGGACCAAAATTTTCAGAGTTTTTTCAAAACGAGAAACAAGAAGAGAAAGGAAGAATACAGAAGAAACGGCCGTCGAGGCACTGCCCATTGGTGGAGTGAAAAAAATAGGAGATAAACGGCAATGTGACGCAAAGTGGATGCCTCACAGATACTGTAATCTGGCGCAAGGTCAGGCCGAAAACCTGCACTGCACAGAGATATATTTGAGGATCTGATGAGATAACGTTGATTGCAAAACAATGCACGGCTCCGTAGCTAGCCTGAACACGCAAGAAACGGCAAAGCGCCGAGTAACACAAACAACTTGAATTACTAAAAAAAGGGAGAAAATGGAGTACGGCTCGAACTGAAAAGGAAACGAAACTGGGGACTGCTCAAAATTGGCCGCAAAACACGGTAAGAAACCATACCATACAGTAATTTAAAAAAGAAAAGGGAGGCATACATTGTTTAGCAGGTTGCGAAACTAGCTCAAAGGCTGCTTGCCACCAGGAAAGGGACACTACTAAGTTACCGCTACAAGTGGTTGCGTAAGATGAAGTAACCACATGTACAGAGGAAGTGGAAAAGCCAAAAACAGAAAAAACGAGAGAAATAAAAACAAGGAAACGGAATCACATGCGGAGGGAGAGAATACGGTAACGTGTGTTATGAACCCTCTAAGATTCTCTAAATTGTCAGGATCGTACGACCACACGGCACGAGGACAACTCTTTTCCTTTACACTGTATATTTCACTTCATCTGATAATTAACAATGAACACTAATAACACCAGCTATTTATAGCATGCAAAAACAGCGTACATGCAAAAACATACGCATATAAAACTGGACATAACAGCGTATACAGCAAAACGCACACAGCGCATATAGCGTATGCCATGCAGCAACATCAGCGGTACGGCGGAGTCGAAATACAACATTTCAACGAATACAATGCCATAAGCGCGAAGGCCTTTCCCAATTGAGAACTGGTGGTTTGCAACATTCTCCCCACCAAAGGGCTTCTCACCGCCGTACAACAATGCACACAAGTCAAAAACGATCCGGGGCTCTGACTATGCGCCCAGAACGTGTCATCTCCTGCTGCCGTGGTGGTGGTAACGGTGCTGACGGTTCATACGCTGGCTGCTGAGGGAAGATAGCAGGTTGAGCGGTATCTGCAGGCCCAGGAGCCACGTCCTGTGACGATACTTCTAACGGCACTAACCTTTGGATCGGCCTCAACAGGGTACTGGTACTCAACTTAACCTTGGCAACACGACGTTTACCATCTCGACCAGGGAATAACTCGATGATCCGTCCCAAACGCCAGAACTGTTTGCG